ATTGGGCAGCGAATTGACTCTAATGGCACCACCAGGGGGCGCTGTTCGCGCTTCGCGCGTATACCGGGCTGCAGTGCGTCAAGAGCGTATTAAGAAGGCTGCTTAGTGGATAGATGTGCTGAAGGGAACGGACTAGGAACCCGTCTATTCCTAGATCAGCTGAGTGAGCAATGATAGATGAGTCGCGATCATATAGTGACGCCCACATCAACCACGTGGGCGTAGGTAGGGCATAGTTCATTGTAGTGTTGCTCCTTTACCCTGAATAGTGCTAGATCACGATCACAGCTAGGCTTGAAGATTCAATAAAAAGTATGCTGTAGTATATGCTGTTTACATTATGTAGCAGCTGATCTAATATTAGCAAGAGCGTATAAAGAAGGAACACGCGAGGTTTCCCCAAGTTATCTCAAAGCGAGAGACAGTCGCAGTCAGCAGGTATCTCGAGTCGGTTTTCGGCGAAAATACCAGATTTTCACCGCTTATTATCTCAGCATGGGGACTAGGAACTAGGGTTAGGGTAGTCCCTCTCGTAGGGACATGCGGTTTGTTTTATATTAACAAGGTAGGACAGCTGATCAATAATACTGCAAAGAATCGTCAAAGTAAAACGGGGAAAGTTTATTAATTCGACTAATACTGCAACATGCTTTTAGCATTTCACCGTTGTACGCTCTCCTTCTTTATACGCTCTTGATATTAGCTATTCCACTATGGCATGTGCCAGTACGACTCAAAAGCGGATGCACGCGAACGTGAGATAAACGTATTTTCTTGGCATGATTTTGCAAAAACGGGTGTTTGAGGAGGGTATATATAGAGCGCTATATGAACAGCCTTATAAATTGTTATATAACCGTGCTTCCATATAAATGAGCTGTGCAATATTGCCAACAGAGCAAGTATGGCGAAGGTTGTTTTTGTCGGTTACGACAACGTATAACCTGTTTCAGGCATGTTCATAAGTGCATGTTCGCCTATCTGTGCAAAACTCGATCGACATTAAAATCCCGATTTAACATATGCCGATTAGACTGACGATTGGCTTTGACTGTTGAGGCTGCGTTTAGCTTTGGCCCTTATAGCTATAGTGATCACCGACTTAAGAAGCCGATCTAGAAAGCAATTTCTCGTACTAGTGGCGCGAATTGATGTGAAACCGGTGCGTCGCTATCTCAGTTCTTTGTGCCTCATCATAAAACGTTATATACAGAGCGTGCGTGTAATTCTGTAGTACACATGCACCCATTCAAGCGTACGTGCGTACAAGCATGCGCACATGGGTATGTGTTAGTGCGTGCCAGTGTGCGTGTCTGCGTGCGTGCGTGAGTGCGTACGTGTGTTTGTGCGCGCGTGCGTATGTGTGCAAGCGTACATACGCGCTCGTGTGTGGTATTACCGTGTTAGTGCGTAGTCTGTAGCAATGTGCGTAGTCTGTAGCAATGTGTGGAGTAGTGCGATTTTGAAATTGCGCAGCGTCACGCTGTTTTCAAAATTTAGTGATAGAGAGAGCGAGTTATGGAGATAATCTGTGTAAGAGGGGAAGAGCGATTGTTGGATAGTACGAGGGGTGATAGAGAGAGCGAGTTATGGAGATAATCTGTGTAAGAGGGGAAGAGCGATTGTTGGATAGCACGAGGGCTGATAGAGAGGGTAGGAGAATGTATTGAGATGTAGAGAGAGTAAGGGGAAGGGTGTGGTGAGTAGTGTGAGGAATAGGTAGAGATAGTGTAGTATGTGTGTGTGCGTGTGAGGTATATGATGGAAAGAAGAAAATATGGAGATGGAACGGGCATAGAATAAACTGATGGTGAAAGAGAAATTAGAGCGGAGATAAATAAGAGAAAAATAGAGCTTGTCTGTGGTACGTACTGTAAAAATTCTATGATTCAACGATTTTTAGCGAATTTCTGACCAACACACCATGCATATATATCATATATATATACATTTGTGTGCGCGCGCGCGTGTGTGTGTGTATGTGTTGGTCAGAAATTCGCTAAACAATCGGTGTCAGTTGATTTCGGGACAGGTATAATTCCCCAATTCATTTATTATCTGCATGGGAAACGAGTTGTGCCGACAGACAGGCGTTTTATTTGTTCTTATAACTGCGTGTCCGGGCATAGCAAGAAGTGTCTTTGTTCTTTTTTTCGTTCTTACGTCTGCAATGTAAGTAGTTAGCAGCGCAACATCTGCCCCTGGTCCACGCAGCGTCACTCCGTAGTCGTTTACGCTTCTAATTCTGTTTATGTGAATGAGGCAAGTGGGAGAGGAACCGGTTCAATCGGCTTGTTATGCTTGTGAATGGATTTAGTACGCTTCTGGCATTCTCTGACCACCAATCACCGAGCGCCCAAACTTGCTAACTGACGCAGTCAAACCGGTTGCACTGGCCGGCCTCGTTTGGCCACACAAAGAGTGCGGTGACAAGATGTGAAAATGCGATATGTGTGCTGGGATGACGCCGGTCTAACTTTCTGGGATGATGGGTTGGGGCGCGAATAGCTGGGATGGGGGCTTTTTGTCCCATCAGTCGGCGAGGGTAGTCTTACGTTTAAGCGATTGCAATACGATGCCACGCAATCCGTCTCCCGTGACTGCATGCTTAACTTAGGTAGTAAGCAGAATGTTTGGTTCAAAGGTGTTAGTATATCCCCCTAGCCAAGTGTCGATACTGCCAACCGTGTTTCAAATTTGGCGCGTCGCGCACTCGAGCATATTTTTCACCGGGGTACATTATTTAGAGTGGCCATCGCAAGATTTCTGTAAACGCGTAGGGTCTTTTTTTCCAACCCGGGACAGTCTATGCTGCAGTCTGCGCAGCGGCAGAATCAGTCGTTTGTCTCTCACACAAAGCGACCAGAGTGTCGAGCCATTCGTGGTTGCCCGTTCGCTCACTGGCAGGTTTGCTGTCGTTATTTGAACCGGTGCTCCGAGGCGCAGCGTTAAAGGCGTCAAGATAGCCATTTTATCCAGAGATCGGGTCAGTGGCTGTACGACTGCGCGGGCGGGCGCGATATTACGCAAACTTCGGGGTTTCGGCGGACTGTCGGACGTCTCATAGCGAGACATGTGTTGTTGCTCTTGACACCAGAAGCTACCGTATCGAATTGCGTGTGCTTCCTGGAGGCAGGCCTGCTGTGTGGCCTTCCCATGCCACTTGCTGCGGGAGGCAAATAGACTGTATACGGTCACGGACTCAACTAGTGGGTTCTAGTCGCGACTGCTCTAGGCTTGCGTCTTGAGTGTTATGTGTGGACAATGAATGACACGTAATTCACAGTGACGTTGGTTTATTTCGATACGGGTGTGATTCAAGTGCCAAGAAGGTTATTTGCGGTGCGAAGGAGACCAATTCCTGTGGATGACTGTGTTTCTGGTGCATGTAGTTGAGAACCATGACTAGATCCACACTCATCCACAGTAAGTGGTAAATGTGACAGCGCGCAGTGAAAAACAAGGGAATTATGTAGAATATCGGTAGTTCAATGTTTATATCCGTGTAACCTAGTATGGATGCGTTGTACTATATATGCTCATTCAATTGCAATTAATTTACTTGTTCCATAAAATAATGTTAAATCTAATTCCGTATATATGATATTCACATGATTCGTATGATATGACGATGGCTTACGCAAATGCAACTTGTAATAATTAATAATTCTATGGTACTGAGAATATTAGTTAATTGAAAATAGGCCTAACTCACGAAATTTTGTGTATAAAAGTAATAAACACTCTATTATGTGTATTCTAAATATTGTCTTGATATTTTTTTATATATATTTAGATGCGGTATGAGATACAGTAAGTAGCAAGGACGGGTCACATACCGGACACTTGTAGTGAACTCGTTTTTCACGTCAGCCGCTCGATCGGTGCCTCGGTCGTTGCATACCATAAGTGTACCCATCCCACTTCCAGCATGCACTTGCATGCCTATACAAATAGCAGTAGCGGTATGCGTAATGTACAAGCAATGCACATATGACAGCAAGCATATATATATATTATTATATATATATGGAAATTGTGGCAACGCTTCTCTAGTATCCCGTCTCATCTGGATCGGCCTCCATAGTTTAGCGGTTGATCGGCCTCCATGTGTTGGAGGGAGGGGGGCTTTCTAGTGCGCATTCGAGGGCGCTGCTTGTAAATCTTTGTTCGGGGTGTGTGTGCGGAGACGGCCCCACCCCCTCTGCTAGTAGGGTGCTCCCGCACACCAGCTGCTGCGGCCGAGTGTCCCATTCAGTTTGTGTGCTCTAGCGAAAAGATCACAAGGTTAGCATTGGCGGTAATATTCGCTTCGGGAAGATGCTTTTAGCGCCCCTGGTGGATGTATGCCCTATAATGGCCTAGATGACCCTGCACATTAAAACCGCGTTAAGAGAGACCTCTTAAGCTATATCTATTTTTTAAATATCATATTACCAAAAAATAGCGATGAAACTTCACGAGCGTGCATTCAATTGGATAGGATAGTTTTTTTTTAATGCGGGAGCATTGGTGAATAATGTAAAATTGTGTAAACAAGCACAGTACGTCGGTTTATATTCAAGTTGATTTCAGCGCACATGCAGTTTGTTATCTTGATGTAGATAATACGATAAATAACACGAAGTGAAACAATATTAACAAATTTTAAAATTGTAACAACAGTAATTGTGTACGTGATAAACGTGATGTACACGCTGCCCATACGTACGCTGTACGCGCGTAATTAGATTCGCAGGTAATAGTGTCACAGGAATAGATTGCCGGGTCAGCTTGGTCGGTGAATACCCGATAGGTGTGCTAATTCTTCATCACCGGGTATACATTCGTCCAAGTTTGCACGGCTATATATACGTACACGGATACAGGAGTTACAGGATACGGACTACACCTCCGTTTGTCAGAACGCCTTACTCGGTGCATGGGTTCCCGGTAGGTGGCGCTGCGAGCATCACCGGGTACACATTCATCCCAGGCTGGTGTTTCTCGTCTGCCCTGCAAGGAGATTTCATCGCAAGTACTGCCCATACGATGAATACCCGTATTACAGTACCGCTGAATGAAGCAGATTATATGGTGAAACTACTGGGTGCGTGTGCGTCCGGTAGGTGTCACTGCGAGCATCACCGGGTGCACATTCATCCCAGCTGGATCTACCGCTGCAACCGCCCACATCGTATGCGCGCGCAAAATTAATAATTATAATGATTGATATAGCCAGACACATTGGCGGCGGGAATTTCGCAGACCTCATGCTTGGGTGATGGGCGTCCGGTCGGTGTTGTGTGAAACCATCACCGGGTGCACATTCATCCTAGTATGTTCTGCAGTTGCCTCATACTTTTAGACGATGGTGTCACCTGATTAGCCTGCGTATGCGTGTAAGTGGGTGGTTAGATTTGTGGAGCCTCTGCACGGAGGATTGTGAAAGTACAGCAATCTAACTTGGCGGGTGGGTGCCCGGTAGATGTCACGTATAAACGTCACCGGGTGAACATTCGTCCAAGTTAGTTGCATCTATACGTCGATCGCGAGCTTCATATGAGTCCAACTAACAGTGTGTGAATATGTTTGACTACTATTGCGTTAAAACTGGGAGACGAACGATGTGAACATTAACGCGTGATTTAATTTCGGCCATCATTTTACCGTCTAGTAGTGTAAAAATCGTTATAATCTTATGCATCCTATTTATAATATTTATGAACGATTTTCCTAAGACCACCGAAAATTGTTACAGAACTATAATTCATAACTCGTCTCTCTAGTCTGAATCGCGTTCTCATATAGATAATGTTATGTTATCAGGTCATGTCATCGACAGTACTATATATACCTTATAAAACCATGAGATGTTACTCGCATTTTAATTTGTATAACCACAATAATTTTTATATATTTCTTTATGTTCCTTATTTGTCTTTATTTTATTTTATATATATATTTTTTCTTTTCTTATAGATTCACAGAGGTGGTGATCGAATAATTGGTGTTGAACCAATTAACCTGTCGCCGCAGCATATGAAGCCATCACAGAGAAGCCATGCGTCTGCTGCTAAGCGTGAAACACGCCATTGCACGCGAACGTCCTACGACTATTCGCGATACTTCACGAACACCAGTTTAGCGTTATATTGATGTATGTATTAATAACTACCAAAGATTAATAACTATAGCGCGATTAATAACAATAATAAATATCTAAAATATAGAAGTATAATAATCTTAATATCTAAGTATATATAGATAGTATAGCATGCCATATGAATTGTAAATTGTGTGTTATACCGAAATTCTTTATTGTTTTGAATTTTTCCCCAATTTCACATGTTGATATCGCCAGATCCCCATGCATAAACTATCCTCTTTCTCGCTCTTTCTCTCTCTCTCTCTGTCTCTCTCTCTCTCTCTCTCTCTCTCGTTCTGTCTCTGTCTCTGTCTCTCTCTTCTCTCGTTCTGTCTCTGTCTCTCTCTTCTCTCGTTCTGTCTCTGTCTCTCTTTTCTCTCGTTCTCTCTCTTTTTTTCTCTCTCTTTCTCTCTCTCTCTCTCTCTTTTCTCTCTTTCTCTCTCTCTCTCTCTTTCTCTCTCTTTCTCTATCTTTTCCCCCTCTAAGACGCAGACCCCCTCCCATCCCTTTGTCTTGCTCTCCTCTCCTCTCTCAATCTATTCTCTCTCTTTCAAATCTACTCTTAATTTCTCTCTTTTTGTCTCTCACCATCTCTGCACTCTCTCTTTCCTCTCCATGTCTTTTTGTTCGTCGCCCCCTTTCTTCTCCCTCTTCCCACCCAGATCTACCCTTTTTTCTCTCTCTTCTCCTCTCTCTCTCTCTTTCTGTCTCTCTCTTTCTCTGTCTTTTCTCTCTCTATTCTCTTTTCTTTCTGTCTCTCTCTCTTTTTGGTAACTCTAGTTTGCAATAACATTTTAGCAACGGTTAGCACACACTATTTACTCTCAAAAAGAGAGAAAATTCTCAAAAAGAAACAAACCCAAATATAAAATGGATAAAATCTAAGAATCTAAGCTCCTTTGTGTGATATTTCGTTATTTTAATAAAGACGTGACAAGAGTATTATGTTGTATTTTCTTATTGATATTATTGAAAGTCATCAGAATGCGTACGTGATATAATACATGTATATACATGTAAGAAATTAACCTAAAATTTAAATAAATGCTATATCCTCTTTCACTTGCTTTTCCCGTCATCTCTCTGAACACCTCCTCCATACGAGCATCAGCAACCTCACCCATCTCATTCTTTCTAAATTCACCTACTCGTTTCTATCTATTACGGCATGCATCTCATCTATTAAATCATGCGAAATGTCCTCTTGTCGTATCAACTCTGACTGTCGGTTCCTTTTACATACGCATGCACATACCTTCCTCTCGAATCTTTGCTTTGCCAATTCTCCTGTAATAGCACTCGCACATGCAAAAAGAAAATGCGCGACAGGCACGCATCCCGCTAGCAACCCGGAAATGCCGAGCTCCTAATACGTGATAAATACATTCAATTAATGGATCCAGCTTCGAATCATAATTAATAGATCACACATACACACAGGCACACACACACACACACACACACACACACACACACACACACACACACACACACACACACACACACACACACACACACACACACACACACACACACACACACACACCGGATTAAGCTAGTGCGGGGCCTGTAGCACATGTTATAAAGGGGCACATGTTAATCTAAATCTAAAACATTTGTAATAGATTTACTGACAAACAAACTCTGCCAGCACTCATTATCGTATCAAGCTTACGTGTATGCTAAAATAATTTTGTGAACAAAGTTTAACTATTAGATAGTTCATGATATCACGGGGCCTGTAGCAAATGCTACTTTTGCTACTATTGTTAATCCGGTAATGGCACGCGCACGCGCGACGACGCACCACATACATACGACACACACACACACACACACACACACACACACACACACACACACACACACACACACACACACACACACACACACACACACACAATCACACACAACACACACACAATCAACACACACACAATCATGCACACACACACAACACACACACCACACACACACACACACACACACACAACACACAGCAGGGGGAGAAGGAAAGAGGGAGAGAAGAGAGAGACAGGCGTGCACCACGCACACACGTTGTAGGCACGTATACTGCTATTGCTATTTGACGTGTAATGTGTTTTTACTTTGGGGTGGGTACACACACACGCAGTTCACAGACAGATAGACACACATGCAGAGAGATATACTCAGCACACACGCACAGAGAGAGAGAAGAGAGACAGGCGCGCACACGCCCGCCCCCCCCCCCCCCACACACACACGCACGCACATATATACACACATGCACTACTGATCAAATGATTTCTTTGACCGTGACCTACGGCTACAGACCGTTTTCTATATCATTGAGCAATGTTACGTTTCATATGACATTTGATATTTTATATGACAGATGATTGATGGAAATGCTACAGCTCTGATAAGCTCTTAGCTCTGGCCCTGTCATAATGGCCCTGTCACACATTGACGATTTAGCCAGCGTTATGCCGGACGTATCAAAATTTCTCTAACGCTGGCATACGCTGAACTATCAATGTTTTTTTCAATTTTGGGCGTATACATAGCGTATTCATAACGAGTTTTGGACGTATACTTAACGTATTAGTAACGTATATAGTACGTTTCGATAATTTATAGATAACTTATACCAACGAATGCTTAGCGTGTTGCCGGCGTTCACAACTTATGCCCAACGATAGTCTAAAGGCCGCCGCACACCAGCCGATTTTACAAACGATGAAGCGATAAAGCGATGAAGCGATGAAGCGATGAAGCGATGAAGCGATGAAGCGATGAAGCGATGAAGGCGATGAAGCGATGTAGGTGTGCGGCGCACACCTCGATAATTTCTTCAATATTTATCGCACACGATTTTCCTGAGGTCAGCGCGCACACACCACAAAATCGCGTCCAAATAATCGGTTCAAAATCAAACATGTTTTTTTGGAACGATCACGCACGATAAAAAAAAATCGTCTACAAATGAACGCGCACACCTACATCGTTTCATCGCTTCATCGCTTCAATCGCTTCATCGTTTGTAAAAATCGGCTGGTGTGCGGTGGCCTTAACTTATGCATAGGCGCGCGGCGCGCTGTATCGCCGACGATCAGGTGTCGTAGCCTATAAAAAGGCTCCCGCTCGACGATTCAAATCATAAACGCACTAGACATCGCAGTATCAACATCACCTTCGCAGTATCAACATGCCAATACCATTTTTATATACCAATTCCCTTAAACGCTGCCAATACGCCATTATACGCTAGCTGTAGTTAGAAACACGTTCAGTAAGTTCTGTGGTCGTCCGCGACACGTCAAATACGTCAATATGCGTTGGAGACAAGTTACACATAGGTTCAAAGCACGTTACTCATAAGTAGAAATAAGTTTCGGGTAGCGCTAGACATTATCTCGACGTATTTCGACTTATGAGTAACTTACAAGTAACGTGTGTGAACGTGTGTCAACGATCGCATAACTTACCTACAACTTATGGCCCGCGTATGCGGGACGTATGGGCATACGCTGGCATACGTCGGAAAATTTTGAACATGCTCAAAATTTTTCGCCGACCTCGCCGTACTACGACGTATACCAGCGTGCTTCAGCGTGCTTCAGCGTGCTCTTAACTTATACAAAGCCTTACCCATAACTTATTCGACGTACGCGCAGCGTATTCACCAAATTTTTGATACGTCCGGCATACGCTGGCTAAATCGTCAATGTGTGACAGGGCCATTAGCTTTAGCTCTTAGCTTAAGCTCTTAAGCTCTAGCTCTTAAGAATGTGCCATTGTGGACGGCGTAATAAACAGTCACATACTTATATAATGACCAGATGACGGGAATGAACTGGCCAATCAGAGTAGTACACGGCAATATCAACAAGAGCGTATTAAGAAGGCTGCTTAGTGGATAGATGTGCTGAAGGGAACGGACTAGGAACCCGTCTATTCCTAGATCAGCTGAGTGAGCAATGATAGATGAGTCGCGATCATATAGTGACGCCCACATCAACCACGTGGGCGTAGGTAGGGCATAGTTCATTGTAGTGTTGCTCCTTTACCCTGAATAGTGCTAGATCACGATCACAGAGCTAGGCTGAAGATTCAATAAAAAGTATGCTGTAGTATATGCTGTTTACATTATGTAGCAGCTGATCTAATATTAGCAAGAGCGTATAAAGAAGGAACCACGCGAGGTTTCCCAAGTATTCTCAAAGCGAGAGACAGTCGCAGTCAGCAGGTATCTCGAGTCGGTTTTCGGCGAAAATACCAGATTTTCACCGCTTATTATCTCAGCATGGGGGATCGTAGGGACATGCAGTTTGTTTTATATTAACAAGGTAGGACAGCTGATCAATAATACTGCAAAGAATCGTCAAAGTAAAACGGGGAAAGTTTATTAATTCGACTAATACTGCAACATGCTTTTAGCATTTCACCGTTGTACGCTCTCCTTCTTTATACGCTCTTGATATTAGCTATTCCACTATGGCATGTGCCAGTACGACTCAAAAGCGGATGCACGCGAACGTGAGATAAACGTATTTTCTGGCATGATTTTGCAAAAACGGGTGTTTGAGGAGGGTATATATAGAGCGCTATATGAACAGCCTTATAAATTGTTATATAACCGTGCTTCTTAATATGAGCTGTGCAATATTGCCAACAGAGCAAGTATGGCGAAGGTTGTTTTGCGTCGGTTACGACAACGTATAACCTGTTTCAGGCATGTTCATAAGTGCATGTTCGCCTATCTGTGCAAAACTCGATCGACATTAAAATCCCGATTTAACATATGCCGATTAGACTGACGATTGGCTTTGACTGTTGAGGGCTGCGTTTAGCTTTGGCCTTATAGCTATAGTGATCACCGACTTAAGAAGCCGATCTAGAAAGCAATTTCTCGTACTAGTGGCGCGAATTGATGTGAAACCGGTGCGTCGCCATCTCAGTTCTTTGTGCCTCATCAATAAAACGTTATATACAGAGCGTGCGTGTAATTCTGTAGTACACATGCACCCATTCAAGCGTACGTGCGTACAAGCATGCGCACATGGGTATGTGTTAGTGCGTGCCAGTGTGCGTGTCTGCGTGCGTGCGTGAGTGCGTACGTGTGTTTGTGCGCGCGTGCGTATGTGTGCAAGCGTACATACGCGCTCGTGTGTGGTATTACCGTGTTAGTGCGTAGTCTGTAGCAATGTGTGGAGTAGTGCGATTTTGAAATTGCGCAGCGTCACGCTGTTTTCAAAATTTATGGCACGTAGGCCGAGATAACATGCACGCAGATGCGAATTGTACATATATATATAACGATCCTATCTATAGTTCGTATATATATATATATATATATATATATAGTAATTGACGTGTCCTTACCAGATCGACAGATCCGGTTTTCATGTGGCATAGCTCACAGTAGTGGCAAGGACAACTTGATGTTTCTTCTCATATGGAACCTGGGTGATATATCATACAAACGTGCAAGCCTATAACCCTGATTTTTTTTTTTACGATTACGTTGCGTAATCGTACAGTATCGAGCGTGCGAACAGTTGAGCTACAAACGCCAAGATGATACACACTAATTACAGAGGCTGTAAGGTACGATGTGGTAAAAATATACTTTATGAAAATGTTACCCTTATTCTTGTTCACAGATTATATACCAGCGATGTCGGGTGAAATATACTTATGACATTATAAGTGGCATTATAATACCCACATTTGACACTGCTACAATTCTTTCAGGTCTTTATATCGTCTCCATATTACAAATAGTCAATAAATGGCAGAAAATAATCCATCGATAAGCGTGCGAGAGTGCGACAGTTTAACTTCCTTCGACTCTGTATATAATCAATCACCAACTTATTGACATATTCGTCAGCATGTCACGAACAGCATTACTTGCAAACCTGCTGCAGGAATGGTGCGATGGTGGACTCCCGATGTCGACAACGAGTGATGAAGCCACGAAGATGTTTGACGCCACATTATCGCAGGTGTAGTACTAGTACCGCAATAAATCTCCATAGATGTAATTACCTAATTCATAATAAACATTTCGTAATCGATCATCGGTTGGACCCAAGTAACCGATGATCGGTTACAATCGGTTACTCGGGTGTTGAATGCCTGCGTGTGCGTAACGTCGTGTGCATGTATGTGCTTGTTTAGCCCTGTTTACTGTTTGTTTGCACTGTTTACTATTGTTGTGTATAATACATGTATGTTAATAAAGGATAACTTGTATAGTAGCGATGATATCTCTGATTCTCATCACTTTTCCAAGTTTTCTTGTTCAAGTTTAAAAGTGTTTTTTTTTCGATTAAATCGATTATGGAGTTTGATAACCAAGCGCTTGGTTCGAGCCACTGTTCAACCGATGATCGAGTATAATCGATGATCGTGACATCACTAGGCGCTTGGTTCGAGCCACTGTTCAACCGATGATCGAGTATAATCGATGATCGTGACATCACTAATGAACATACTAGAACACGGATGCCAATCAAACATAACTATATGTTTCCCAGGGGATATGCGTACTAGTACGTCGTGAGACGTTACAGTAAATAGCACTGCCGCGTATGAAACAGATAAGGTGTTACGTGGAAGAAAGTTCGTACTGTTAAAGTTAGGTTCCTCTAGACAGATTGCTTCTTGATAGAAAGCTAAGAGAATATAAAAACGAAGAGTGCCCAGAACTGGGTACTATAACTTCGATAACGTATAAAATATTCTGATAAAAAATCACCCTAAATATATCCCTTCGCACAATATTTCTAGAAAAACATGTTTTCTTGTCAATATACTGTAGCAACCATATCATGTGGCATGAAGCAAGATTACAACAATATTTTCTAGTGAATAATCGCATTGTAGATCGTTATAATAGGCCTATATTCGACACCAGTACGACCAAACACGCATTGAGCTGTTTTCCAATTATACCATCTACTTCAGTACGTTGGATTTCGAGATGAGACAAGTGTTGGCGGCATGGCAAAAACAATGGAGAGAATGTTGTCTGCCGACCCTGAATTTGGTAGGTTGGAAGAATAAAGGTCAACGATCAGATGGTCGCGCCGCGTTCACGATCATAAATCGCGATGATGAATACTCTTAAATAACGTGAATAACCTTGGTTTTAAATTCGTAATTTGGGTTGAATTATTCACTGTGTGTCATCAGCTACCTGTATGGCAGTGATATTGTCGAAATTAAAGGAAAGGCGAATTGTTTCACCTTTGAATATGTCTTTGATTTTGTTGAAATAGTTTGATAGAATACTACTAAATCCGAGTTAAATATCATAGATTTGTCTTTGTAAAAAGTATGTTTTGTTTACCTTTATAATTATATATGCTTTCTGTTAACTGCAGTGATGGGACGAGTGATTGTCAACGGATTGACGGTGGTGGGTATGGGTAAATCGCCTCGCTGGGACAAGCAGCTACGTCAGAGTATCGATGAGATGGTTAGGTTGGCAGAAACGCGTAAAATCACGAAACGCGAAACAAAGCATGTTGAAGCCATTAAATTGCTATCTGATGGGTAAGTTGAAGCATGAACATGCGATTAGTTGTGATGAATCTTGGTAATTGCGATTATAAACAAGACAACTCACGTATCCCCTAACTATCGTGTGTTATGTGAAAACAGCAATTATCAAGACGTCTTAGTAACAGCCAACGTTAATTGTAGCCACCCATCAAGTGAATTCTGATTTCTGCTTTATTTATCAGTCAGGTTAACGTTATAACATTATTTTCTGTGAAACAAAGTATTAAGTTTAAAATTAGTGGTTCGTGATTGCGATGTACACTAACTCTAATCCTAAATTCTAACCTATAGTTTTTGTGCTACCCCACATTTGTGTATGTTCACGTACATAGATGTTACTAAAATTCTGTGTGCATTTTGCATCTATTTGAAGGTAAAGAACTACTCAATTCAAAGGGCATCAATTAGTATAGTGGGTATCATAGTAGCGTTCACGAATGAAGACATACCACATGATTAAGAATATAGTGCTAATAATTATCTATCAATATGATGGTAATCCAGAATGCTAATATCTTCACAGCTATATGTACGAGGCCACGCAAGTGTGGGAAGACATCCTCGTCGACCATCCGACAGACATATTGGCGTTGAAACAAGGTCAAGACGCGTACTACAGGCTTGGCAAACCCGTCCAGATGCGAGATTCCATTGCCAGGGTCTTACCTCATTGGGATGCCTCCATTCCGCTGTATGCGTAAGTATTGTGTGTACTGACTGCACATATTCTTACAGTGCAAGCAAACGCTTATCTGCGCTATTCTTTTATGCTAGAAAGAATACATTTAGATATTATTTCAGATATCTTCCTGGATTCTATGCGTTTGGTTTATGCGAGACTGATCACTGGAACGAAGCAGAAAAGAGTGCTAATAAGGTAGAAAAATTCAATGAAAAGTGCATGAGATTCAAGTAGTGTGGTTTTTGAGAATGTAATATAACATAACACTAACCCGAGTAAATATGTATCATACACTCCAGTTTCTCTTTCGCTTTTCTTCAAATCTTGCCATTTTGCGGATGTGTGTATGTAGTACACTGCCACACATGTAAAGAGACGCTGTGAATATTTTGGAACTGGTGCAAGCCAGACACACCTTTTGTATGAAACATCAAATATGTCATCTCTTTTTAACTGAATGGACTGAATTAAGATTTTTTTTTACATGACAGGGCATTGAGCTTATTCCAACTAGCTCATGGGCAACGCATGTCTTAGCTCACGTATACGAGATGCAGGGAAGGACCCAGGAGGGTATATCCCACTTAAGCACAACGCTGGATAACTGGACGGTAAAAAGAGATAACACATATAATCTCGCACTTGAGAAAAAAATGCATCAAAATTATCTGTCAATTTCCGTTTTAGGTAATATTACATTACGATTTTGTATCTTCTAGGATCATAGTTCGGCTCCATTGGCTAACCACATATTTTGGCACTGGGCAGTTTTTCACATAGAAAGGGTGAGTTTTACGTGCCTTCGTTCACCTGTAACTGCGCAATTAGTCACCATAAACACGCACGCACGCACGCACGCACGTACGCATGCACGCACGCACGCACGCACGCACGCACGCACGCAGATACATAATCATCACAAATACATATTATCAGGAGCGTATAATGACAAATACAACTATGACAACTATGAGTAATTCCTATTCATGTGTAAACACACTAGACCGTGTAGTAACGTTTACACGAGATTGAATTGTTTCATGTGTTTTTATACAGGGTGAATATACAGCGGCTCTGGACCTGTTTGACTCACAAGTAAGCGAATGTACGGTGCGCCAAATTAGTGTAAGGGATATGGGTTGTTTTGCGAAAAATTTCTTGGTTAGTATATATATATCTCCGATTTATGCGAGAGATAAACCTCACATAAAGGGAAATTGTTAATATTGATTATCATTCAAGTATCAGGAA